CCATGAGATCGTGACCTGGCTGAAGTCAGACGCTTAACTGACTGCGCCGCCCAGGCGCCCCGAATCTTGAATTCTTAATCACTTAAAAGTTATGGCAGCAGAATTTAAAGGTACTACTTGCAGCAGAGATTGCTAGCTGTCCACCAAAATCCTTTCTCCTCTTCTGGACAGAAGTTAGATCTGATTTGCTGACCAGTACCATGTGAGCAGGTATGATGTACCACTTGTGGGCCAAGGCCTTTAAAAGTAGACATTTGCCTTCTCAGGGCTTTCTTCCTCTCTTGCTGCCTTGATCCTGGGGAGACCCAACCTCAACCATACAAATGGCAAAGCCCTAATTATGGCAGAGCCACAAGCCAGGAGCTTGGTCTCTGAATCGTTGCACGAAGGAAAGCCTCCTGCTGACCTACAATATCCACCCTGGATGTTAAAGGAACAAGAAACCAATTTACTGTGTTTGAGCCATTGTTTGGGGGAAGGTTAGTTACAGCAGTTAAGCCTATTCCAACAACCTTATTTAAAAGAATAGTATGGGGGTGCATTGGTGGCTTAGTTGAGCGTCTGACTCCGTCTCAGCTCAGGTCTTGATCTCAGGGTCGTGAGTTCAAGCCCCACATTGGGCTCCACACTGGGCAGAAGCCTACTTAAAAACAAAAAGTATGAATTATGTTTATGCACAAAGGTCAAGCAAAGATGGAGTAGTCAAGCCTGGGAAGTGGGGTGGGGACTTTCACCATTGGACACTTCCCTTATAAATTTTATAAAAATTTTCTATTACCAGTAAGGAAAGAAAACAATGAAAACAGCAACACAGTGCTGGTACAGATTTTACTTGATGTGGGAATAGTTCCTTGACCCTTGTCCCCCCCCCAGTCCCTGCTGAATTTCCTTTCATTCCCTTAACAGTTCTTGTCCTTAGTCCTTGCCTGGCACTTTTGGAACATAAAGAGCAGAACTCAGGCAGGGCCTTTCAGGATATTAATCCCTTCAGGGGGTCTGGTCCTCAGCTTTGTGGACCCAGGAATAGGAGAGTTCGTTTTGCTTAAATTTTATTATTGAAGTATAGTGACACACAATATTAATTTCAGGTACACAACATAGTGATTTGACAATTCTGTACATCCACTGTACATCTGTGATAAGCATAGTTCCCACTGGGCAGCAAACATTAATGTATTATTGACTGTTTTCCCTATGCTGTACTTTTAATCTCTATGGCTTATTTTATAACGAAGTTTGTACCCCTTATTTCCCTTCACCTACTTTGTTCATCCCTCCACCCCCTCCCTCTGGCAACTATCAGTTTGTTCTCTATTTGAGTCTGCTTCTGTGTTTTAGATTCCATATACAAGTGAAGTCATATGATATGATCTGACATTTCATTTAGCATAATGCTCATTAAGTCTGTCCATGTTGTTGCAAAGGGCAAGGTTTCATTTTTTATGGCTAGCATGTCATTGTATGTGTATATATATGCACCTCATCTTTACCCGTTCATCTGTGAATGGACACTTAGGTTGTCTTGGCTATTGTAAAAATGCTGTGGTGAACATAGGAGTGCATGTGTCTTTTCAAATTGGTTAGGAACAGAAATCTAGATATGTGTGGAGTTTATCAGGCTTTCCAACCCAGAGACCCCTGTTAACCATGATGTATAAACCAAAATGCCCAATCAAAATTATGATGAGCAACAGTCCCTCCAATATCCACTGTTAGGAGGCCCTCTTGCTGGTATGAGGGCAACAGGGAAACTAAGTGAATAACCAGAGCAGGCTGTTTGGTGAGTAAGGGAGAGCAAATGGGAGTTGGATAATCTTAGAAGAACCCACTCTCTGGGCTGTGAATTAATCTGGTGATCCGCATCATGGAGTTGCATACTTAATAAGCAAAATCCTTTTATGAAATTGAGTCTGTCTTCCTTGGAGAGTATTCTTTAAGACTGCCAAATTCTCTTAAGGTTCCTCTATAGGCTTTCTGCAGCTTTTTTCTCCTAAGTCAGTAACAACGAGCTGAGTTCTGTATTGTCATACTTATGAGTCTACAAGTTCCTTGACTGGACTTGTATGTTCCCCAAGTTGTCACTTATCCACTGGGTTGATTCCTATGTATTTATTTGTCCTGTGAATAGTAAGTGAGTTAAAGTAGTCTTCAAAAGTTGGTTAATATTAATATTATTTAAGTAGATAGTAAACCTTTTCTAATTGTATACCTAATATTATAAAACACCAGACATGCCCTGATGTCTTATACCTATTAAGAACTTAAATCCTAGAAGTGGCAGAGGGGGTGCAGATATAAACACGGATATAGCAAGTATAGGCACGGACATTCAAAATCTGTCCAGCCCAAGACTGTTGCCAATAGCAAGACTTGATACTGACTTAAAAGTTAGTCAAAGCTTCTATTAAATCTAAACTGTGCTCCTATACTGAAATCTTATAAAGTGCTTATCCCTAACGGCTTTTTCTTTTTAAAAGATTTTTATAGATGTTTTATATGGTCATATTTTTTATCTTGTATCCCAATGGCTTTGGCTTATCATATTCTTCTGCCTTTAGTATTTTCTCTTTAAGTTTTCCAGATCTTCTCTGGGTGTTTTTATAGGATTAAAGTGCAATGAACAAAAGATACATACAGAATTCTGCAGCTGTAGGTGTATCATAATTTTGGAAATAGGGTAAAGTTTTCTATTTTGCTTCCAATATCCCTTTTAGTAGTGATCCTCTGGTTGGCCTTATGTTACAGGCTGTTGGTTCTCAAATTTTTACATTTTCTCAGTTGTTTGCTTTCAATAGAGAATGGGCTCAAAAAGTAAAGCTCAAAACTGTACAGTTTAAATTCAAGATGGGTCCGTGCTGGTCTAATCCAAATCTTTAACACCAATCTCTTCCAGAATTACTATCCTGTGACCATTTCCCCTTCACCGCCCTTACCTAGTCTCCAGTTTGAGAAGCAGGGCCTTAAGAATACAATCTATGGTAACATTATGTTCTCTGATAGTTCAGATCTGTTCATGATAGAGTTGGATTACTTAGTCCTAAGCCTTTATGGCATCCAACCAGTTTATTAAGTGGTTACATGGCAAGACTGGTACTTACCATAACGTAAAAATTAACATATAATGACTGGTGTCATAATTCTTTGGAAAATGTGGAATCTAAGAGCAAAAATATTATAGTATATTGTCAGAATATACCACTATTTCAAAATGGAAAAAAA